AGATCCCTCCTTTCTTCTACGAAATGCAATTCGGCCCGTAAGTTATCTTCATTCTGTTCTGGGCTGTAATGCACCGTTCGGTGTGTGGGAACTAGGATCTCCGTTGGTACTTTGGCTTGAAAACCATAGGCAAGGGCAAATGAAGTCTCTCCCGTGGCCGTTCGGGGTGTGGTCCTGTAAGTCCATAGAATGTAATTCAACTGATCAGGCCACGACGAGGAGTATTCTTCGAGCTTCTTCTTCATGCCATCCATGATGGTTCGGTTCATATTTTCTACCTGGCCATTTGCCCGAGGGTATGCGACGGATGCTCTGGAATGCTTGATCCCCCATTTGACCAGGTAGTTCTCAAAATTACGGCTCACGAACTGCCTTCCATTGTCAGTTATAATCTGTTCAGGGATTCCGAACCGGCAAATGATATTTTTCCAGACAAACTTCTGGCATTTTACATCTGTGATGCTGGCCAGTGGCTCGGCCTCTACCCATTTGGTGAAGTAATCTATCCCCACAATGATGTACTTGTTGTTTCCGGGTGCAGTAGGTAGAGGACCTAACAGGTCTATTCCCCATCTTGCAAATGGAAGGGCCACCGTCATTGGAGTGTAGAAAGTGGCAGGCCGTCCGGGAACCGGTGCGTATAATTGGCATACCTTACATTTCCTGGTATGCGCGAAGCAGTCCTGTTGGATAGTTGGCCAATAATATCCTTGCAAGATGATTTTTCTGGCCAGCGTCTTGGGCCCTTGGTGACTGGAACAGATACCTTCATGAATCTCTTCCATTACAGCTGCCGCTAGATCGGGTGGGAGGCATTTCAGATACGGTCCCCCAAATGTCTTTTTGTACAGCTGCCCGTCCACCAACTCCAACATGGAAGCCCTCCTCTGGATGCATTTTATTTGATAAGCAGGATTTTTATCTTGCGGGAGGGTTCCGTCTTTTAGGTAGTTGGTCATATCCACGACCCAGCTCGGGATGGCATAAGATATGGCCTCGATCTGGAGAACCATTATTGCTGGGGTTGCCAATGTTTCCCGATGGGCAAAACGTTGGATATGAGCCGAGATCTCCTGTGCCCGATCGTCGAACGCTGCATGTTCTAATTTGGACAGGATATCTGCTTCAGAATTTTCGATTCTGGATATCTGGTCGAGCACCACCTGTTCAAATTTACGTATCTGCTCCTCGACCATTTCCTTGTATGCCTTCATCCTTTCTTCTTTGGCCTCAGCCGTGCCGTTCACTTGATGTACCACCAGTTGACTGTCCGATCTCACTTTTAACCGATCGGCGCCCAGGGCCCTTGCATACTTTAAACCAGCAATGAGAGCCTCATATTCAGCCTCATTGTTGGTCACCTTGAAATCAAAATGAATGGAATAATATGCTTTGAACCCCTCGGGCGATGTGATCACAGCTCCAGCTCCACAACCTTTGGCACTAGATGCTCCATCCACATACATTTCCCACCAGTTATCCAGCCCGTTGTTCTCTGAATCTTTTTCTGAGGACCGGGCGGTACATTCTGCAATGAAATCTGCCAGGGCCTGCCCTTTGATAGTAGGCCGGGGTTTGAAATCTACCTCGTACTGCCCGATCAGGAGACTCCACTTGGTAATGCGCCCACTTGCCATAGGATTTCTCAAGATGGTGGCTAATGGCTGGGTAGTATATACAGTTACCGGGTGAGTCTGGAAATACGGGGCCAAGCATTTAATGGCAGCTATCAGGGCCAGTATATTCTTTTCTAGCAAGGTGTACCTGGTTTCCGGGCCGTTCAACGCCTTGCTCACAAAATAGATTGGCCGTTGAACGCCATCTTCTTCTTTCAGCAGAACCGTGCTTACGGCCAAGTCGGCTACAGCCAGGTACATATACAGATGTTCCCCCGGTTCGGGCTTTGTCAAGACCAGGGGGGAAGACAGATATGTCTTGAAATCCTCAAAGGCCGTTTGGCATTCGGCCGTCCACTCGAAAGGGTTGGCTTTCTTCATGATTTGGAAAAACGGGATAGCTCGATCGGCCAGTTTTGATAGGAATCTGCTCAGGGCTGCTAGCCGACCGGTCAATCTCTGTACTTCCTTGAGATTCCTCGGGGGCTCCATGTCCACAATGGCCTTTACTTTTTCTGGATTGGGCTCAATCCCCTTCTCGCTCATCATGTACCCCAAAAATTTGCCTCCTCTTACAGCAAACGCGCATTTCTTGGGATTGAGCCTCATATTCGCCCTTTGCATTATCCCCGAACACCTTTTCTAAGTCCAGGACATGGTTTTCCTTCTTTTTGCTCTTGATCAGGATGTCATCAACGTAGGCTTCCATTGTGACACCCAGTACATCTTTAAACAACATCCCGATCATCCTCTGGAAGGTTGCCATCGCGTTCTTTAATCCGAATGGCATGACGATGTAGCAGAACACGCCATCCGAAGTAACAAACGCCGTTTTCTCTGCATCGGCCGGGTGCATGAATATCTGATGATAACCCCGGAAAGCATCCATGAAGCTCAGTAACTCGCACCCAGCAGTCTCATCCACTAGCAGATCGATCCTCGGCACTGGGTAGGGATCCATGGGGCATGCTTTATTCAGATCGGAGTAATCCACGCACATTCTTCAGGTAGATTGTTTTGGGGCTAGAACCACATTGGATAGCCATTCTACGTGGATTACCGGACGGATATGCTTTATCCTTAGCAAAGTGGCCACTTCCTTCTTGGTGAATTCCCGTCGTTCGGTCGTTTGATACCGTTTCTTCTGTTGGACCGGTTTTGCATCACACCGAACGGCAAGTTTGTGGCATATTATTTCTGGATCAATGCCGGGCATATCTTCTGGCCCCCGGGCAAATAGCACCTGAAACTTTTTGAGGACGGCAATCACGCCATCCCGGATATCTGCCTCCAGATCTACCCCGATAGCGACCTTACGGTTCGGGGGGAAGTCGAGGTCGATTTGTTCAAGAAGGGTGGCGGGCTCCGGGTGTGCCTCGAACTCCGTTCGGTGGGTTTCCACCTCAATTGTATTCACCCGCATCCCACGAGTGTTCATCTGTTTCAGGGCCTCCCGATAACATGTCCGGGCTGTTGTTGGGTCAGTTCTGGCCACCCCTACCCCAGTGTGTGTGGGGAATTTGATGCATGAGTGGCGGACAGAGGCTATTGCCTCCAGATCTTCCAATCCCGGTCAGCCCAAAATGGCATTATGGGCGCACTTTATATCTACCACCACGAACGTCATTCGGAGTGACGCTCTGTGGGTTTCATCTCCAATTTCAACCATCAATTGGATGGTCCCTTCCGCCTCGATGCAGTTACCGGTAAAACTCGCCAGTGGAGTCCGTAGGTGGGTCAGGTTGCTCCTTTGCAGACCCATTTTCTCGAATGATTGTAGATACAATACATTCACACTGCTCCCAGTATCGACCAGCACTCGGCGGATTAAAGCATTGTCAATACACATGCTTACCACCAATTCATCCCTGTGGGGGCTTGGAGAGTTGGGTAGATCAGCTGGCCCGAACGTGATCGGGTCTGTCCTTCCTTTCTTCTGGGGGGGAGCGGAGACGGACCCCACATAAAGACTCCGCTCGAACCTTTTCCGTTCGGCGTTCGAATCTCCGGTCTCTCCGCCCCCAAATATGACCTTGACCTCCATTCGAGGCTTCTTTACGGGGCCTCCCGAGCCCTCTGGCTCATCTCTGGGAGGAACATACACATCATTCTGAGGTTAGGTGTCACGTTGAGCATCCCGACGCCAGCTGTTAGGTTTCCTGGCCGGTTTTAACGTGCCCATTGCATTCGGATCTTTGTTCACATATTTGCCCAGATGGCCCCTTCGGATCAGATCCTCAATTGCTGTTTGCAGGGCCCTGCAGGCATTGGTGGCATGACCCTTTCTGTTGTGATATTTACAGAAAGCATTGTCATCCGTTCCCATGAACTGTCCAGAATCAGTCGGGATGGGAATATTGTCCCTCTCGTTCTGATAGATGGCCGCTATTGATAGGACCAGGGGTGTAAATCTCCCTTGTTTGGGAGGTAAAGTGGCCGCTGGGCTAGGACCAAGCCGATCGGCCAGTCTGATCGGGGCAGCAGGCGTAATGACCTTATCCCTGATCATTATTTCTTCTTCTAGGGCGGCATGCTTGCGCGCCCTATCTAATACTTCGGCGTACGCCGTGCCCGGATTCTTCTTCAATTCTTTGTACAACTCCCCCATTCGGAGAGCATTCGTGAACAGGGTGATGGCGGTATCATCCGTCATGCTTCCCACTGTTAAAGTTTCATCCCTCCACCTTTTCAGGAATTGGTTGAGGGTCTCCTTGGCGTTTTGCTTCACGCTAGTCAGATAGCTGAAGTGCCGTTTGGGATTGGCACTGGAAGCAAATTGAGCCAAGAATAACGTTGATAACTCGGTAAAGCTATTGATTGACCCGGGCTGTAGTGTCCCGAACCATTCCTGGGCAGGCCCCCTGAGCGTGCTGAAAAACAAACGGCAAATGGCAGCCTCGGGTGCTCCTAGCAGCATAAGTCCGCCTTGGTAACTCCTCAGATGTACGTGGGGATCTCCCATTCCATCATATATTTGGCCGGTCGGGGGCTTGGCACCCCCTTGGATATCCGCGTACATGAGCTCCCTTGTAAACGGGGAAGTAATCCCCAGTTGGACTGGTGCAGGTTGTGCAGGTACCCTGTTCATCTGGTCCCGCATTTCATTCATTTGCCTCCTCATCTCAGCCATCTCTTCCTCCTGGGCCGTCAGAGGGGGCGGTGGTGGAACCCTCATATCCGCACAGTCCCGGTCCCAATGCCGCTGAGGGGCCCTAGTATTTTCCCGCTCGGCATACTGGAAATGATGACCGACGGGAGTTGGTCCTCTAGCTTGCGACCCGACCGGGGTTCGGTCACTGGGACTGGGATGCGCTGCTGGTGGGGCGCTACGTCGATTATCCCGATGGGTATGTGAGCGGGATGACGCTGTGGTCGTTTCCGCGTGTGGAGTTTCTCCTGTAAAGCTGGAACCTCCTTCTTCTTCGTTTGCCATGTGCTGCATGAATTGGGCCATGTCACGCATGGCCTGGGGATTTCTCCTCAGAGATTCGGGGATCACAAAATCCCCATTAACACGAGGATAGGATCCTCGACTGGATTGTCCCTGGGGGTTTTGACTCCCCGGGGTGTGACTCCTCCCGTGACGGTGTGAACCGTCGTTTGTATGATAGGAATTGATTCTGACATTTTTAGAAATAGAGGTTTTTTGGATGTTTAGAAAGTGAAACTTTTTGCAAGTTTCCCACAGACGGCGCCAATGTTGAGGGTAAGTCCCGTAGATCCGAAAGCCCAACACGAACTTTGGATATATCAGGAATGGCCCAGAATCAAGGTGTACGAGAAAATATAAGATGTGAACTAACTAAAACTCGAAAGCTCACTTGTATTAATTAACCAATCTGATTACAAGGGATTTCCCGATCGATAAGTCGGAAACTATGCCTTAATACAAGAAATAAGAGCAAATGATGCTATTCTAGAGCTTGAGTATTGAAATGCTAACCCTTACAATGACTTGAAACCTTCTATTTATACTAATGGAGAGCATGGGCTGCCTCTTGCTGATTGGCCGTTGTTCCACCGACTTGGTCATCCATGCTTCCACTTGCTGATGTCATAGTCTGGCATTAACTGCACCTGGCCACTTGCTGGTTGGCCGTTGCTCGAACGGGATGTAGGCCCGTACTGAAGATGCTGTCAAATTGGCCCAAGTATAATATATAGTCCGAACCTTGTTCGGTATGTCTTCTTATTGGGCCAACCTTTATTTGGGCCGAACCCCGTTCGGTATGTCTCTTTATTGGATCTTTTCATCATGGAGTGATGGGCCTGTTACTTGGGCCGGACACCTTGGGCCTTCCCGAACTGGGTATTGGGCCTTTAGGCCAATATCCCAACAGTGTACTAAGCAACTATATTTTGTACAAAGACATGTTAATAATTAATAAATTGTAATTTCAATTATAGTGGGTAACTTAATTTTAACTAAATTAGTCAAGGGCTGTATTAGTATGTCTCGGCTCCCCTTTACATAGTATAACATCTCTCAAGGGCTTCTAAAAGTAGCTTAACTTCATTCATTCTTAATTGACATTTTTTGATATACTTCCAACCTGCTGCCAACATATAGCAATGGAGGTCTCTAACTATCACACCTCTTCGAGTCCCCTGTTTTGTCTTCCAAGAACCCAGTCCCAAAAGACATTGAGGTCGGCTAACATGAATCGATACATGATATCACCGCCAAAAAGAAATGAAAGAAAATAAAGATAAAAAAGATAGGTTATTATAAAAAGATAATATAAAAAGAGATGAATATACATAAAAATCACCTTAGACTTTTTGATAAATAAAAAAGTTTAACCAATATTATTACTACCTTCGTAACAAATATATCTTCCCATTTGAAAAGTAAGTGAGATTAAGAAGAGTGAAAGGAGATATAAATTATTGAGGGTATGATGGGAATATAATGAAATAGTGTGCTAGAATGAAGAATAAATCCAAATAAAAAGTAGTTGTAATAGTGTACTCTTTTCGTTCTTTTTTAGTAGCAACGGTCAACATTTCACATTTGCCAACGACGTCTTTGACCGTAATTATATCTTAATTCTGTTAGCAAAAAAAATATTAAAAATTAGATTTTGAAAATTTGTAATGAGATGAATTGAACAATATTTTTTAAAAATAATAATTTTCATAAAATAATAGTGTAAGATGCAGTCATAGTAGATCATGTGAATAGTGTAGAATTCAACATGTTGCGATTAAAACAGAACGGAGGATAGTATTATTTTTAAAATTATTGAGGGTATGATAGGAAGATTTAGAAATGGGAAGATATGAATGTTACAGCTAAAAAGGAAAGTGAGAAGATATGAGTGTTACAGAGAGAGTATTTAATATTACTCCCTCCGTCCCACTGGACTTTGCCATCTTTTCTTTTTTGGTTGTCCCAAAAAACTTTGTCACTTTCCCATTAAAGTAACTATTTTGTGGTTCTACTAATTTCTCTCTCCTCCGCACAAACTTGAACCACACAACTTTTACTATTCTTATTTCTCACCTAACTTAAGGAGTGCAAAGTCCATTGAGACGGAGGTAATATTACTTAATGATTCGTACAATATAATACTCCCTTCGTCCCGGAATTATCTTCATTCTTTCCTTCTCGGTCTGTCCCAAATTTATCTCCTCTTTCTTTTTTTGGCAAAGAATTTGTGGTTCACAACCATTCTTACACATTTCTCTTTCCTCTGCACAACTCTCAATCACACGTTTCCATCTTAAAACCCGTGCCCAGTCAAATAAGGAGATAATTCCGGGACGGAGCTAGTATAAGCTAGCATACCGGCAAAGGGGTCAGTGAAAGTGAGCACTGCTAGCTTCAAAATGGAATAGATAAACTATTAACCTTGATTTACCCAAGTTAACCTCGACCAAATAGAATGGAGAAGGGAAGAAATAATAGAAAGATGACGTCTATGCTTCTATGGTGTGTAAGTGTGTTAATATTAACTTGATAAAAAAATCATGTACAAAAGACATGTAGAAATCACAAAGTCCTCTCCATTCCCCAAACGGGAGGAGGGGAGAAGAGAGTGGAAATAGGAGAAACATCATAACAAAGTTTGTCATCATTAAAAGGGAAAATTCCCAGGAAGTGAAAAACTGGCCTATATATGATTTCAGAAAACTAAGAAATCCTTGCGGCCACTCTGCCATTTTGATTCTCTGATTCCCTTTTCTGGGATCAGAGAATCATTGCCTCCTTTCTCATCTTCTTCCATCTTTATTTTCAATACAAAAATCGGCTCAATAGAAGATGAACATTTCGATACAATGAGTTTATTGTAGAGTTGGATTGAAAGAAAGCAGATAGGCTTGAGGAGGAGGAGGAGGATATTTTATATTCAACATTTACATAAATAAGGCTTCAGGCATTGGGAAGATCAAAATGGGTGCGGCTCATAACGATGATGACGGAAACATGGAGGGGTGGCTTTACCTCATCCGTTTGAACAGGCTTGGCCTCCAATATTGCCGCAAACGATATTTCATTCTTGAAGATAATTGTCTCAAAAGCTTCAAGTCAATTCCTATTACTGGACAAGAGGTAGTATGCCGATATTATTATCTAAAGAATATAAAACTAACACAGAAAGTAAAAGAAAATGTTGGAAATTTTTATACCAACTTCAATAGGAAATTAACGAAATTTAGTATTGAGAAAATTACATGACAAGGATATATATATTTGGAAAATTCAAGAAGTCTTCTCAACATATTTTCAGGAGCCACTAAGAAGTGCAATCATAGACTCTTGCATTCATGTCAAAGACAATGGAAGAGAGAGCTGCAATAGAAAAGTATGTCTATAACATTCGTTGCATGTCAAAGAACCAATAATATAAAAGAATCTTTTTCATCCTTCTTAAATAATCCTTATATCAATATATTATTTCAACTTATACAGGTGTTCTTCATTTTCACCTTGTACAACACCTCTAACCATAATGATCAACTCAAGGTATGTATATACACCCCCATCATGAAAAGGTTCGCTAATGAATTTTCTTGATCAATGATAATCAACTTTGACTAACGATATTTTTTGATACGAAATTATTTTGAATATGAAAGTTATATCAAAATGTTCCTTATTCAAAAAAATTTCGTAAAAGTATAAAATTTATACATTATATAAAATATAATAATTAAAATCATTGTCCAATATCTACCATCATTGACCAAGAAAAGTCAATATGGCTAACCTTTTCGGGACGGTGGTAGTATATTGTTTATAGTGAATGCTAACTTTCGCCTCGCTATTCCGTGGTAAAAGAGAGATTTTACGTTTTGTAGATCGGAGCTACTAGTCCGGAAGAGGCTGCCAGATGGATCTGTTGTTTAAGAGATGCTGCTTTGAATCCCGAAAAAAACTTACGGGCACCTGCAATAAGAAAATGGCAACCTTTCAGGTAATTAACCAACAATTTCTTGCAACAATGATTTCCTCCTTTAACAAGGAAGGGTTAAGAGCATCACATCAAATATTGAAGAGACATGAGTTTATAAAAACAAGTTTGGTAAGATTAGCTATTTGATTGAAATCTATCTTATGGTTTGATTGAGTGATCTAGACTCAACTATTAATTCTACAAAGGAGGAATTGATTGGAAGCTAAAAAGGTCATTTACAATTTTATCCTTTATTTACATGCTTATGTTTTCTCCCTTTGTATCAAGATTGAGTGTCTCAAAGAGGAATGCGCGAAAGAAGTCTATAGACTGGACTGATGCATCTTCTTCACATGTGGATGCAATGACATCTGATGTTATAGGTCCTTCACCATGGAAGATATTTGGATGTCAAAATGGTAAGAATTACATGTTACATCATTTCCGATAAAAACGAAAACAGAAAAAAGAGAACAATGAATTTGTTTATACATTGTTTTTCATTTAGGTTTACGGCTATTCAAAGAAGCAAAAGACAGAGATTCAAATGGAAAGGTGTGTTGATCTTTTCAATGATCCATCCACTATGTTCTGATTGCTTCATAAACGATTAAATGTGTTTGTCTTCAGCATTGGGATAGTCATCCAGCTATAATGGCAGTGGGGGTAATTGATGGAACTTCTGAAGCCATTTTCAAAACTCTCATGACTCTTGGTCCCTCAAGATCAGAGTAATATATTCTATCTTCTACTCAATGTCTAAATTTGTTAATAAATAGATTTAAAATATGGGGATTGTCCTAGACTATTACTGACATATAAATCATTCAAAAAAATTGACATTGTCACTATATTTACTTTCAAAATATCATTGTGGTTACTAGAGTATAAAACTGAACATCACCATTTCCACCGTTGCCCATGCATATCAAGTCGCCGCATTTTGGATCATTATTTTTATTTTACTTATATATTTGTTATTATTTTCTAAAATTTAGGGATAAAAGAGTCTAGAAGACTAAGATGTCTCACTTTATGTATTTATCATGCTTCATGAAATTGGAAGGACTGCCTTATAGAGAGACCAATGTAATGGTTTTTGCAGATGGGACTTTTGCTTCTACAGGGGGAGTGTGGTTGAGCACCTAGATGGACACACCGATATTATTCACATGCAACTATACAATCATTGGATGCCATGGTTAGGAGTACTTTTAAACAATACAAAACATAATGAATTCAAAATATGGTCTATTGATTTGCTTCAATGACTACTTTATCTGCAGGGGGCTTAAACGAAGAGATCTATTGCTGCGGCGTTATTGGAGAAGAGAGGAGGATGGCACATATGGTATTGTAATTCACATTGTTCACATAAGTGGGTTTATAAGAACGACTTAGTAAATTGCTTCTTAAGTAATGACTAATCTTATGTGTTTGATGCAGTAATCCTTTATCATTCTGTTGTCCACAGCAAATGCCCGCCACAAGAAGGATATGTTCGTGCCACTGTTAAAAGTAATGTATGCCTAAACATGTGTCAATGTTTTACTAATAATCAATGTAGTATAAGAAGTAATATTTTTTTTCTATGGGGGGATTGAAAACAAACAGGTGGTGGACATGTTGTAGTTCCTTCAAATCAAGGCAAATCAAGTATTGTAAAACACATGCTCTCTGTTGATTGGAAGTTTTGGAAGTCATATCTTAGAAAAGAGACTTCAAGATCCATAACTATATGCATGCTTGGGAGAATTGCAGGTAATTATTCACAGGCATAATTTTTCAAGAGAGGGCTATTTTTAAAAAAAATCTTCTGTAAAGTAACAAATCCTATAGGTCCAATTTTATAGTACGTACTAACCTCGCCTGGATTATGTATGGCAGCATTGAGAGAGATGTTTAAAGCTCAACCTGGAAGTTACTTCTACGACGCTTCATCTGGAGAGCTAACAATAGATATTCAGCTACCTCTTGGCGATAAGGAGCAGAGAAAAAAAGAAGTTTCTCCAGAAAGGGTTGAAGAAGAAATTGAGAAACATCCATCGGGGCGCTCGAGCCTAGTCGGGTTGAATGATGTGGGAGATGAGTTTTTCGATGTTGCTGAACCATCCGACGACGAACAGTCAGATCACGGATGGTCTTCTAGTTCTAGTCCAGATTATCACTCGGTAATCGCTTCTCTACTCTATTCAAACAAACTTCGTTTAATCTCCTGATCTATTGATTGTCTTCTTATCCTATCCTTCATTCAACTCTCTCATCAGGATACATATCCACAGAAATTATCATCTACTGCAAATTTTGTCAAAAAATTGCAGGATCTAGCAGGTTTGTGACCATTGATGTAAATATAGATAGATTGACTTGTCATGGATTCCATGAATGGCCTGTGTCAAACGCAAAATTAATTCAAAATTTCAGTTCAGAAGAAAGGTTATGTTGAATTACAAGAAATGGCCTGGGAAGAGGGCGAGTCGGGCTGTTATGGATCCACTCTTCCTAAAGATGCAAGTTACAGTATGGCCTGCAGCTGGGCTGCTGCTGATACCTCCTCATTCTTGATCCGAGGAGAGAACTATCTGGAAGACCATCAAAAGGTTGTTCACTCTTCATCATCATGTCTTTTCTAGCACAACATAAGAAATGCTTCTTTTGTTGTTTTCTTCTTCAGAAATGCCATGTCAGTGGAGGGTTAGTGGAGAGTTATGGAGGGAAATATAGGTTACAGTTTATTTATTTAACTTAAAACCAGTACTTTTAAAGTGATAATTTTTTTTCTAGTAAAAGGAAGTATTCATTATTCGATAGTTCAATATATAACAGTACATTATTCTTTCTCAAGAGTTTCAAAGTCAAGAAATCATTATTACAGAAAACATTATGCATTTGATCTTATCTTAATGAATCATGCTCTAAATAAATTTCAATCACCATTTTCATTTTTAAGGAAAGAGGGAATATAAAATGGTAAACATTTTATTAAAATAAAATGTCAACATTTTTTATGTTGGAGTTGGTCTAATTTATGTTTCTTATTATTTGTCTCTTCTTTGCTCAAATCTCAAACTATCTATCAAAATATTAGCTATTTTGCAACTAAGTTGCCGAACATTACAAGTAATTACTCAGTTCATTCAAAAAAGAGCAATTGACTCCTCTTTTACAGCTCAACTTTCTTCTTCAATAAGTAAATATGAGTGAGTATTTGTAAAGTTACCAAATATAAGGTTCCAGTTGCAGAATAGCTAATAGTTTGAGAGGTATTTGATGTTTTTCTCTTTTGCTTTTCATGTGATGTGAAGTACTCCCTCTGACCCTTAAAACTTTGTCATCTTCCCTTTTGGGACGTCCCAAAAAACTTTGTCACATTCCTTTTTAATCAATTATTTTTGTGGTTTCTATTATTTCTCTCTCCTCTGCACAAACCTGAACCACACAGTTTTTATTTTATTATTCTCCGTGCCAGTCAACTTTGTCAAAGTTTTAAGGGACGTAGGGTACTACCATTTCTAATTACTTTTTTGTTCTTGTGGTATTTTCAGGTCACGGCGAAGGGCACATTGGCGCAGATGATTGGTGCAGATTGGCTACAATCTGACATTCGCGAAGATGATCTTGCTGGTCGCCCTCGAAGCATCATACAGGTATTTACATTAGTCATACATCTTTTCAGGTGACAATTCCGGTACCCATTTAAAAAATGCGGTACCGTACCTGACATTCACTTGATTGGTTCAAATCATTACATCATTTTTAGTTTAGATTTAAATAATTCAACTACATCATTCTGATTGATCCATGTGAACTAAGGTACGGTACCTCAAGGGTACCGTAGAATCTACATATATGTTATCTGTTTCTAACACACAAGTTTTGCATGATTTATAGAAATATGCCGCGCTGGATCGACCAGAGTTCTTCTTTGTGATCAACATTCAGGTAAATTTTGTTCTGTTTTTGATAAATCTTGTCCATGTGGACCTCGGAAAATACTAGGGAGGAAAGTAGAAAAGAAAATAATAGGGGAAGACTCCATACAATATAGACGAAAATAAAATATGCTTCAAGTGTAAAAATTTAGTTTCACTACCTGTTCAAACTTGTTTTATTTGTTTATGTTTTATGTAAAGACAGAAATGTTAATTGATTTAATGGTTTTTATTCACAAATACTTATACATCATATCTATTTGTAATGGATAATAATATGACTATTTCGAATCATTTTAAGTTTATGTCCATCTTTTTAGCTCCCCCATCAGGCTCCCATTTATCGCTTTCGTTGGCTAAATTTTCATCTGAAATATCTGCCAAATGTAGTTGTCAAAAATCGTCTCTTGTCATGTAATGTGGTTTCACCATCAGTAATATAAAAATGACATATTTATTCTATTTCTTTACAATCTAAAGAACAATTGTATTTTTCTTTAATACGAAGTGATATTTATATCAAAACCTCTTGTAAAAAAATGACTTCCTGAGCAGTTTTGGCTTTTTCCTGCATTCATAAATACCCTTAAGTAGCTAGAGAGTAGCATCAGTTGGGACTTGGGAGTGTATACTAATGAGTAATGAAAGTTTTGTATGCAATCTAATTAGATTCCAGGAACAACAACATATAACCTCGCCCTATATTATATGCTGAAAACACCTCTAAAAGAGAACCCTTTACTCGAGCGCTTTGTCAATGGAGATGATGCTTTTAGGAATTCAAGATTCAAGCTCATTCCATACATATCTAAGGTTAACATCATTTTCAACACTTCTAATACTAATCTGATCATTCATTCCACTGATATCCATTTCCATATTCATATAATTAACCTAATTACTTGCTATGTTTCTCTAGGGATCATGGATAGTGAAACAGAGTGTGGGTAAGAAGTCGTGTTTGATTGGTCAAGCGCTTGATGTGCACCATTGCCGTGGCAAGAACTACTTAGAGGTAGTTCCATTTATATATGCTCTTTTTGCCAAATTATGTCAATTTTCTTTGTTTGATTCATCGTTTAAGCAGATGCTTTTTGTTGTGTGATGAATTCACATTCTTATCAATGATAAGGTTTCCTAATTAACACAAAAATGTTTGTTGGTTCTTAGCTGGATGTTGATGTTGGATCATCCACAGTTGCAAGAGGTGTTGTCAATCTTGTTCTAGGCTATTTGAACAACCTTGTAATAGAAATGGCATTCTTAGTACAGGTAATCTAACCACAAACTCAAGATTATATTTTTCACTTGAGTTCATTTTCATCAAGAAAAGAGCCAATTCATGATCATGTGTAAAACCGAACACGAATTGCAGGCGGACACACCAGAAGATCTTCCGGAGCAGCTTCTCGGAACGTGTCGACTTAACCATTTAGATGCATCCAAAGCAGTTCATACTCACACCATTAGCTAATAAAAGAAGACAGTGAATGATGTTAGTCTTGGTAGGACTAACATGAGAGTGTAAATGTGTAAGTTTGGTGAATATTTTCTCTAATTAATTGGTCAATGTATGAAGTCATAATGTGTTGGCCTAATTCATTATTGCATTCTTCATTGTATAATATCCATCTACAAAAACCCTTTCCCTTCACTTTTAATCTAATCGTTAATAGAACAATGAAAAGGGAAGGTATAGTAAGATAGTGTACATATATGATGGTGCACTTGAATTTATTGTTTGTCCCATAACTTTGATTGTATTAGATATTAGTTCCATAACTCTACTCATTTGCACAATTGCACATTTAGTCGTGTAACTAATAACTGTAAACATACTAAGGACGTTCCGATCGAAAATTATATTTTCCATCAAAATATAGAGCGGACAATTCATGGACAAGTACCTTGTGGTCTGATGGCATCACTGTTGATCTCCTAAAGAGGAGTTTGCAGGTTCGAGACTCATCCCAAAAGGATGTTGACATTATGATGAGCAGATACTATAATAGGTTTAGAAGAATATTCTAAAAACAACTACTTAGGATGTTTGTAAATAAGTGAACATTTATGCCACTGCGAAAAAATGCAGTATTTGAACATAAAAGTGTAGTGTAATATAATAAAAGCGAAGAGTTTGCATTTCTCACGTAAAAATAAAGTATTTCAACCTAAATGTACATGTAATTTTTGAGCAAAAAAATAGAAAAGTATGATACCATTATGACTTTTTCAAATTTTTAATTTTTTAGTTTGTTATTTATAAATGAATTAATTTAATTTATAGCCATTGTTGATTCCTAATAACTATGAGCTATTTTATTTTTTTGAAAAAAAAAAACTAAGCTTTTGAATTTTTGATTAATTTTTTATAACTTAACCTAAATTGCATCCATGGTTAAGAACATGTTTAGTACCACTGAAATTGATTGAATCGACTAAATTTGCTGACATTGATGATAATTTGCTGGCGTTGGTAAGGATTGTGGTTTCACACGATAAATATTTTTTTCAATGCTACAATGTCACGATAAATACGTGACATGAGAGAAATAAATACATAAGAATGTATTTATGATATTTCTCTATCATTCTTTTCACGGTCTTGTGAATTTTTGGTGAGTTTTTCACAATAATATCAACCACATTGTCTACATCTAGAAATTGTGCTTGATATTGTGAAGAAAATTTTACAAAAAACATATGTGATCAGTAAAATTGTTAAGGAAAAATATACTCCGTATTCAAATATTCACGCTTTGCATGGGAGATGCTTTGATGCTTTTTCTCCGTCCTTTTGTCAAACATCAATATGTTGGTTTATAAATACTCCGTACTGCAATATATTGCAATTGTTAGCCCTATATATTATTCCGTACTGTGCAATTATATTAAATTAGAAATGTTATAATGCTAACTAAGGGACAGCACATGATAGAAGCTGTGTTTTTGCGAGACAGCTCACCACTTAGAGGACAGTAGGAGTTAAGGATATCATATCGCCATTATAGGGGAATAATTTGACTACAACTAGACTACTAGTCCCTTTAAGCAGCAATTACAAAAAGGTTGGGATCAAGAACAACTTAACGTCTTTGAATTATATGAATAATACATTTAATTAGTGCAAGCTCAACTCAGTTTTTGAACTAAAAAAATGTTTAATTCATATCCGAATCGATGAAAAATGGTTCAAATTTCATTTTTTACGGGTAAACAATCGGTCATTTTTTTAATTTTTTAACTGCAACTGTTTTTATTTTCTTTTATTGCAATTTTGACACTTTTTAATAGTTTAGGGGTGCGAATTAGACCTTTTTTACCGATTGTTTAACCTTAAAAAATTGAAATTTGAACACTTTTTTGCCGGTTCGGGTGTGAATTGGACTTTTTTAGTTTAGAGACTGAATTGAGTTTACAGGACCGGTACAAGGGCATATTTGACTCTTTAGGCCTTTAATTAATACGGTGTAAAGTGGTTGATTAAATGGAGTTCCAAATACCTTGCAAAAAATGGAGTTCTGAATGGGGTAGGAGACTAGGAGTAATGAGTAATACTCCGTATAGAAAAGGCAATAGAGAAGGTGAAAAAGTTGAAAGAGTAGAGTAAAAATTAGAAAAAATAAGAGTGACTGAATATTTTTTAATGAAAAACTTATTACAAAAAAATGTTCAAATATTTGAGATACTTCTCAGAAAGAAAAGTGTAACATTCAAAAGAATACAGAGAAATTATGAATGATTCACTCTCTGTCCCGAAAATATTCGCCAAATTTACTTTTCTTGGTCAATGACAATCAACTTTGATCAATAATACTACCTCTGTTCCTATTAAAACTTCAAAATAGGTTTGGCACACAGTTTAAGATCGTGGGTATTGTGTGGTGGAGAGTTGTGCAGAAGAGAGAGAAATGTGTAAGAAATGTTGTGAACCACAAATTCTTTACTAAAAAGGGAAAGTGGGAGTTTTAATTGGAACGGACGAAAAAGGAAAGTTGGAAGTTTATTTATGAACGGAGGGAGTATCTTTTAATATGAAATTATTTCGAATATGAAAATTATATCAAAATGTTTCTTATTCAAGACAGAAAGTATAGACAAGTGCTCTCTCCGTCCCAGAAAATTCTTCTCACTTTGACTTGGCACGGAGATTAAGAAAGTAGAATAAAGTGGAATAAAGTGGAAATGTGTGATTGTAGTTGTGTAACAAAAAGGTGAAATGAATGTGAACCACACAAATTATCCAAAAATGGTAAGTGGAAAGAATTTTTTAAGACGACCCAAAAAAGAAAGTGAGAAGAATTTTATGGGACGGAGGGAGTAGTATTTTTATATGACCAAGACAGTAAGAGCAACTTGGATCAATAGGATGCTAGGAAACGTCCATATAAAGAAGTGATTTTCGTGCACTAGCCTTAGGAAGTCACCCAGCCCAGTAGGGGTGGGCATTTCGGTTTTCTTCGGTTTCGGTTCGGTTTCGGTTTAATCGATTTGATAGAAAATGTACCAAATGCAAACCGATTAAGTTTCGGTTTGGTATGGTTCGGTTCGGTTTGGAGTTCGGTTTATCAAAGTATTAAGGTTTGGATTGAAAAAAAAACTCAAAATAATGAACCAAGAAGCGATAGTAATGAACCAAATATAATGTTAGATATAAATTTGCAAACAGTAACAAAACACATATGAATTAAAAATATATAAGCATGACACATTTGTAAGCAACAACAACAACGAGAATGAATCAAATTATATATAAACGAAACAAAAACAAAACCGGTGCTTGTAAGTAATGAACCAAGTATATAGTAGTAGTAGATAATAAATTATAGTTAAATACTATCTATTTAAACCACTATAATTGTTATAGTTGTGAATGTAACTCTTGTAATAAATTCTAGTCCTAGATACTAAAATTAAAGAATTAAAGCTTCAAAAAGATTAACATCAATCAAATTAATGAGAGAAATCTTATATTTTGGTTTGGTTTAGTTTGGTGTAAGTTGGTTTTGATTTGTTATTTTAAAAAAATAAGAAATTATTTCATTTTTAGATTAGTTCGGTTTTATTCGGTTTTATGATTTCGGTTCGGTTTGGTTCGGTTTAATACGGGTTGGGAGGAATAATACCAAACTCAAACCAAATTACAAATGGTTCGGTTTCGATTCGATTTAATTTGGTTTGGTACGGTTCGGTTCGGTCAAACCGAACCCTTATGCCCACCCCTACAGCCCAGTAAGAACATGTCAGTACTTTTCCCAAGTTTAACGGGAGATTGACCAAGCTTTGTTAGGGCACAAGCACTAGTCCACTTGTCAATGTTAGGATTTCGGATTCTTATATGGCTCCTTTGATAATTTACACGTTTTATATGGCTCATTTGATAATTTACACATTAAAAGTTTTACGTGAAATGATTTCATGCGAAGCTTAGAGAAACAACGACTTTGAATGTAAAATAGATATACATTGTTGACTAGATGTTTAATTAATGTTTAGGTTGCACGCAAAACTGTTACAGTGATTTATATATAAAAAGCATTCAAAGTATTTTACCATCCCACGTAAAGTAATTTACATGGTACAGTGTAATTTTTTTTAAAAAAATATCTTACAACTTATATTAAATAATCAAGTCAAATGGTGTAAATCTTTAACGTCCCTGTATTTTACATGAGTGATTATTATACTATCGTACATCCTACCAAACGCCCTTTATAATTGATGAGTTAAGCATGAGTCTATAATACCTTTATCACCTTTATGCACACTTTCATTTAAAAAACATTTGAACGTTGTCTTTAATGTATGGAGTACGTATACCGTACATCCGGTTGTATGGTGTTCACCGTACAATCGAGTATTTTATCTTATACCTGATGAGTATAACATTAAAAAAATAAGCGTTAGTATTAAATCATTGTTTTGGTAGCACAAATGATTATAGAAGTGTGCTATAGAGTATTATGATTTACACATGATACATATGCTAAAAATCAAGTTATTCATTTAACTATATTAATTACCATTCTATTGTCATCGAAAAGAATTATTGTGCTAATTTTATAATTTAATATTAATACTTATTTCATTTAAACTATATACTCATTAAGTATAAACTAGAATACCCGGTTGTACCATGTGCATGGTACAACCGGTTGTACCATATTGTGAGACAATTTATCAAGTTATCAACAAGCCTCTCAATGTTAGGGATTGTTGGGAATTTTGCTTCAAATCTTTTGAATTACCTAGACTTTTGAGGGTTTTTTTTACATTTTTTTTCTTGGTTTACTAATAGGGCTATATAAAATAATTTATCGCTGGATGAATAAAAATTTATGTTTTTTGTAATTATTGATGGTTATATTTGACAGGAGTATTATTCATAATTTCTTATAATTAAGTTTTTTATGAAAGATTTTAATATCAATTTGAATTTATATACGAAATACGTCTAAGATTAAAACTTAAATCAACATTGCTAATGTCATGTATTCATAAATGAATCCATCGTCTCTGACTTGGTTCCAGTTGAGTTCGAGTTGTATTCGATTTTGATATATATATATATATATATATATATATATATATATATATATATATATATATATATATATATATATATATATATATATATATATAGAGAGAGAGAGAGAGAGAGAGAGAGAGAGAGAGAAATATTCGTGTCCGGAATTCCGGACAGGAACCGCCGCCCGTACGGCGGCTTTTGGCGGTCTTCCCGGT